TTTAATTTGGACCTCATCGAACTTTAGGACACACTGCAGATTCGATCGGACGCTTAAATATAGTTTAATTCGATTTTGCATTCCCAGGTATACAAAAATACAGAAGAAAGTAATAAATGTAAGGGAAGCACTGAGTTTTTTTCTGAACAATTCATGGGTAATTGAATGCGAAAATACTAGGAAACTCTTTAGATCTCTATCATTGGATGATCAAAAAAAGTTTCCCTGTGACCCCGTTAACATTCACTGGAGAAAATACTTAGAAGACTATCAAAAGGGCATCGAAAAGTATTTGTGCCAGGGAAAAGTGGGGCCAAATAAACCTTAAAATTTTTGGATTCCGTTTCTGAAAAAAAAAACTTCATCTCATCATCTTTGTCATTCCTTCATGTGTGTTATAATAATTTCATTAGATTGTAATCTAGTCGTTTATCAATTCTATACTGTCAATGGTACGGATCAAATAAGTGTATATATCATATTATGTAATTTATATTATCATTTACGAATACAATGGAAAATTGTCTAAAGAATAAAGTGGTCATTGTGACTGGAAGCAGTTCGGGTATTGGAGAAGCTATTGCTGCAGAATTAGTATCTCAAGAAGCAAAAGTTGTTATAATTGGCAGAAGAGAACATAAACTGAAGTTAATAACAGCAAGATGTGAACTAGTTGGTACAAGGCCATTGGTAATCAGAGCAAATATGACTAAAGACGATGATAGAAGAATGATCATTAAAAGGACAATAAAAATTTTTGGGAAATTAAACGTGCTTGTGAATTATGCTGGTGTAGCCAAATTCATCACTATTTTGTCCAATGAAGCGATTGAAATGTTCGATGAAGTTGTGTCCATCAATATTCGATCCATTGTGCATTTGGTTCATCTTTTTGCCATATTTGGTTGCAAGTGAAGGATCCATTATTAATATTGGAAGTGTTGGAGGTGAGGTATCGCCCCGATAATATCTGAGACTTTTTCTTACTGTTTTTCCAAAGCTGCATTACATCATTTTACGAAATTTTGGCGTTAGAGCTGGCTAGTAAGAATGTCTGAGTTAATCTTATTGCCCCGGGCCCAGTGAGAACTAGTTTTATAGATTCGATAGATATAAATGATGAAGATAAAGCGAAATTCTTGAGCAATTTGATAAAAGGCAATGCTCTTAGTAAAATGATTGATCTGGACGAAATAGCGCAGCTTACAGCGTTTCTTCTCAGAGAAAAAGTAAACACTATAACTATTTCATTATTTGTAATTGATAATGGGCTTCTCTTGAAAAAACACTTTCCCGAGATTGAACTTTAAGATAGTTAAACATCTGTTATTGTTATACAATATAATAATAGTGTATATAAATGCTTAACATAATCATTAATCATCTTCCATCATCACAAGTTCTTTAGTAAGATAACCTNTATCGGAATGAGTAAGATAACCTGTAAAGTGTAAACCCTCATTTGGTGTCCAAATGCTATGTGGAAGAAACAACTTTACAAAGATAGAAGACTACTCTTAGAGATAAATTTCCCATAATTTGACGAACAACAAAATCTACACCTGAAATTATATACCAATATGTACTCTTATTAAAAAAAAGCTCTTATTTCTATTTTTGGAGGTGGCTATAGCAGAGCTTATAAATTTAAATAGCATTAAAATACTGGTAGCAGTACTTATAAGTTGGGGTCTTATTCTGTGCAATGAATCTATACCAGATTCAAACCGATCGCTTAAGAATTTTAAATAAATAAAAAACAATGAGAAATTTCATATCGTTTAATTTAACTATATAATTTCACAGTAAACTGTAACTATACTTGAGCCCTTAGAACTTATATCTCAAGGTGGGTGGCGCATTTACGTTGTGGATGTCTATGGGCTCCAGTAACCACTTAACACCAGGTGGGCTGTGAGCTCATCCACCCATCTAAGCAATAACAAAAAAAACTGATAGGATCTCGTTGGTGTAACACTGAGAGTGACGGAGTCTCCACTGCAAGATCCTGAAACTCTGCGGATGGACTTTGCTTCGTTAGCGCTCACCGTGATGCAGCGCATGTCTTGTAGGGAATAGCTTACCTGAAAGCACATAGAAGAGTGAAGCCACAGTCATACAAACATTTAAGTTTATTTTGAAAGTTTATATAAAATTGTACAAGTTCAGTTCCAAACAACGAAAAACAAACTTTTCATTTGCGTGATTTTATTACGAAATGATATTTTTTTTATTGCCTCTGTAGGCGGACGAGCATACCGTGTGGTTACCGTCGCCCATGGGCTTGAGAGACACCAGGGCCAGAGCCAAGCCGCTGCCTGCCGTTAAGTACTCTCCACAAGCTTCGCTTGAAGAAGGACATGTCATAGCGCTCGGGAAACACCGTGGAAAAAAGATCTCTTGAAACGCACTGTTGATGAACGCAGCGACTCCAGGTAGTGGAGAGAAGTGAAGTCCATTCCAAAGCCGGATAGTACGTGGTAAAAAAGATCTCTTGAAACGCACTGTCAATTAATGCAGTGATTCCAGGCAGTAGAGAGAATATGGTCTCACAAGATCATCAGCTTAGGTAGGAAAAAAAAGGAAGAAAATAATTCTTCCCGCGTAGGCTCTGCTTCGGTTCGCACCCGCAGAATCTTCCCTCTACGGCTATGACAAATACTTCTTAGAGGGATTTGAAGAGAGTCATAGGCAATTGTTCGATTTGACACGATGCATTTCTGGGGTCGTCAAGCGATTGCGTAGTAGCAGGCACAAGTCGTGAACTCTTGACAAAAGAGCGGTACACTTAAGGTAAAATTGGATCACTCATGTATTACTTTTTGAAGTGAAACTTCTTTAGATTCGCTGTGATTTCAAACTCGATGAAACGAAAAAATAAGTCCATAGAACAAACACATAAATGTACAGGATTCAGCCGGCGAGAGAATGAGGTAGAACACATTATATGTGCAGTTAAAATATCAATTCACAGAGGGCGCTACCTCATACTATAAAAGATGATTTACAATTATTTCTATTTAGTTTGTTATCAACAGATATCGCTGCACGTATATTCAACAATTCCTGAATCGCGGTGACGAGATGTTACACAGTTATAGACATTCTCGTATTTCTCTCGCTATATTATACTAATCTGACGTAGAGATACCGTGATCATGCAGGCCGTTCCTCCAGGGTGAGACTGCTCCATTGCGATTATTTTTACTTATTAAAAGTTTCACTTCTACCGTGTGTGTACTGTGTGTGACTTGCACTGTGCAGACTGTGCACACACACATATTTTTTTTTATAATTAATTTAACTTCGCTTAATTTGGGATTGGAAAATGTATTAGTAATTTTATAATAGTTATGTCCGGGGTCTTGCTCGCGTGATAGTCAAAAATAGCCCAATTTTTTACTGACGTACAAAATGTTATCAATTTATCCCTTTTTTTTATGTATATTTTCGCTTTTTACCGCTAATTTGCTTTTTCTGTGTCCTGACGAATATGGAATATTTATACACGAATTTATATTATTAAGATTTAGATTTTAGACGATTTTCATTGATATTTTTGGTGCTAGGGAAACCAATTGAATAATATACCTAAACCTATTTCTAATTGATAATTTTTTAAGAGAATCTTACAGCGACTTTAGACAAGACTATGGGACTTATAAAATATTCCTTATGTTATCTTTTTATACGAGTATTGAACGATGTCCAAGACAAAAAACAAAAAACCGATTTTTACTAAAAAGTTTCAAATGGTATATATTATTATATTATATAGTACATATGTACTTCTGGTACTAAATGTACATTTATCCATAGTAAATTATTCCTAAGAAATTGGTGCCTGGAAGAATTAAATGAGGTTGATAAAAAATATGTGGTTAATAAAATTGCACGAAAGTGTACATTGATTTTTTTAATTTTTTTTATTGCTTAGATGGGTGGACGAGCTCTCAGCCCACCTGGCGTTAAGTGGTTACCGGAGCCCATAGACATCTACAATGTAAATGCGCCACCCACCTTGAGATATAAGTTCTAAGGTCTCAGTATAGTTACAACAGCTGCCCCACCCTTCAAACCGAAACGCATTACTGCTTCACGGCAGAAATAGGCAGGGCGGTGGTACCTACCCGCGCGGACTCACAAGAGGTCCTACCACCAGTTTAACTAATGTATCCATCCTCAAAGAGCTCCAAATCAAACNATCTACAATGTAAATGCGCCACCCACCTTGAGATATAAGTTCTAAGGTCTCAGTATAGTTACAACAGCTGCCCCACCCTTCAAACCGAAACGCATTACTGCTTCACGGCAGAAATAGGCAGGGCGGTGGTACCTACCCGCGCGGACTCACAAGAGGTCCTACCACCAGTTTAACTAATGTATCCATCCTCAAAGAGCTCCAAATCAAACGAACGCTTTCGTCGATGGGCAATTGCGAATCGTTAATATGTTTGGACATATCATTCGTAATGAAAGCTCATTGGAACGTTTAGTGGTTCAAGGAAGAGTAGACGGTCAACGCTCCCGCGGCCGATCTTCCACAAGGTGGACAGACTTTATTAAGTCATCTACGAAGTGTTCCCTTACTGAGTGTACACGTACCGCCACAAATAGAGAGAGATGGAGAAGTCTCTCAAAAGCCACCATGAGTGTACGATTGAGAAGAAGAAACAAGAATTTCATGCCAATTCTCCTCAGCTGTGCATTACGAATCGGTGCTAAAGTTATGACGATTTAAAAGTGCCTTCAAAGAGATTATTTAAATAAAACATAATAATATTCTGATTAGTTGTATTAATTACTCGCTTTGACTGCATTAGTGGTATTAGGTGACTCAGAATCATATTCTCTTCGATGATAATTATTCTCGATTTGTATAGTGAGAAAAGTCGCTATTAAGAACTAGACAAACAAAACAACAATTCTTTTTATTTTTAATAATTGTTCGTTTAATAAAAGTATCTTTTAGCTAGTTAGTTGTTCGCAGCATTACGATAATGACGGGTCTAATTACTCATGGTTTGTTCTTACAAAATAATTTTTTATTGAATTTCAACAAAAATAATATTAAATTATTAACGAATAACTTTTCAACAAGTTACATTTGGTAAGTACCTCTGTAACAGAATAGTAATGCGGTATTTGCTTTTAGAATTGAGCGGGGGTGTTAAAGGTTCTATCATACTTGGAAATGAAGTTGACGTCTATCTGAAGCGTCTTTTATATTCAAAGGACCCAAATATAAAGAGTATATGAATTATATCGAGGTGTATGTAAGAGGCTATTCGGTTTAAGCGGAATTTCACTCAATACTCGCCAATTATCTTTGTAACGAAAGTTCCGTTTTATTCGGTATTAGCATCAATAATTCGATGTTTTTAATAGAGCTTCAAATTATGTTTACATCATTCAAATATCTGAAAAAGTTTTTTTTTTTCATAATATTTTTTCCAATTTGTACCTATAAATGGATTTCCTGTAAAGTTTCAAAAATATCGCTTAAACCAAATAGCTTTTCGCCCCTCGATATAATATCTATAAAATTGTTAGGGGGCTTAAAGTAGCAACTTTTTTTTAAAATAATGCGTCAGGATGATAGCGAAGATACCTCGTAACCTACTAATGAACGAATTCATCGTAACTTGCCATAAGTAAAGTTATAGATGAAGCAATCCGTAGAGCTAAACCTATAATGACTCATAGAAACTTAGAAGAAGAGTGCCTCAGGATCCACTAGACCCACTATAGATTGATTGAGACGGACTTGTAACTGGAGATTGTGAATGCACCGCCTATAAAAAACATTTTTCTCAAAACCAGACTTAAATGTCTAAAGACAGTTTCCTTGTCCGATCGCGACGGGGCAACGCAAAGTCGGCGTCGTCCGAAACATGTCTTATCGGATTCCCCGGATTCACTCACGGCGCTTCGAGGACTCTCAAGCACCAGTTACCTTTCTAACTAACCCATAGACACAGCCTACTGAGTTCCTCGCCGGATCTTCTCAGTGGGTCGCGATTCCGATACGGTGTTAGATTCTGCGAAGCGCTACTCCTGCTAGGGCTAGTGTTAGCAATTTCTCTTAGGTTGAGCCCGTGAGCTCACCTACCCGTCCGGGGTAGCTGGAATAGCCTCTTAGTCTACCAGCGAATAGGTAGAGATAAAAAGGCAGTTTACAGTATACAGAAAAAGTAAAAAAAGATGTGTGGTGTCGTGGGACACCGGATAGGAACGAAGTTCCTTATTATAAAAATATTAATTTTAAGTTCTATTCGAGGTATAAAGAAAATAAAACTGGAGGTTCCGCAACAATCCACGGTCATTCGGTAACGTGAGAACTTATTGTGGTACACTTCATTCACGGTTGTTTGCATAAGAGTTAGTGTATTGCGCAAATGAACGCTCTTAGATCGTGGTCAATGAATGATAAGAAAATATGTTATTTTTTGTACGCTATTACAAAGTCAAGTCGTCCACTGTGTGCATTACTAATAAAAATGTTACGTTACGGACGTTTTTTCCCGGTCAGGGCACCCCTCCGTATCGTCCCATAAGGAACTTCGTTCCAAAAACACAAAAATTTTGTGGCCAGAGTAGCATAAATGTGTTAATCATCGTTAATAAAACAATCGAACGGCATGTGTAGGTATTCTTTGTCTGGCCAGCTGTCTATAATTATGCTCTATCTAATATTAAGTGATTATATTATGAGAATTGAGATGTAGAAATAAAGTTTAAATTGAATTGCACAGCGGCTGTACCATCCTTCAAATCTCATGTTTGGTGAAGATAAGTGTATTGTTTTCTTCGATTTTCACAAGCCTTAGACACGATTAAAATTAATTTTATGGTTTTATCTCGCCTTTTAACTGTTATTACGTTACTAACATTGTAGACGTTGTAATTACATAGCAGTTTCTGTGGTCACTGACGATTTTCTTATTTTAATTTTTTTATTGGTTTGATGTGTAGACGAGCTCACGGCCCACCTGGTGTTAGGTGGTTACTGGAGCCCATAGACAACTACAACGTAAATGCGCCACCCACCTTGAGATATATAATTATGGAATGGATCTAATTTATACAATTTTGTCTTTTTCTTGGGGCTTCGACCAAATAAACTAAATTTTTTTAAATGAACTTTTCAAAAAATGATTGCCCCTTGAAATGGTCTCTTGAAAAGATTAAACTTTAAACTTCGATTCCAATGTAGAATCGAGAGATCATGATTAACATTTGACAGTCAGATATTGAAACGTGTGATTAATTATTTTTGTTTTGTTCAAGTGCCAACATCGATCGTCATGATAATGCACCTAAGAAATCAATTAGTGAATTTTATAGTGGGAAGTCAGTGCTAGTTACTGGAGGTACGGGCTTTCTGGGAAAGGTAAGTATTATTTTCGTTCTCTTAGAGGGGGAATGAACTCATAGCCCATCAGCTTATCAGTTCTTATGATCGGTTCAGTGATGTCTTTTATCATCGCATCACACACTATACGAACGCACCTTCAGCTTGAATGTTCAATGTGTTTCTTCACACATGGCTTCAAATAGAATAAAACTATACTAATATATAAATCTATAGTGGTTTTACGGATGTTCCGTTATAACTACTGAACCGTGCATACGATTGACTTGAAACTTGGTATCCATGTAGAAAATACATGTACTTAATGGATAGGTTAATATTTATATGAGTGTTGGACTCCCTACACCAGTTGCGGGGGCGTTCATGATGAGAATCTTTGTGGGGGTGAGAAATAATAATGTTAATTTTAAATGCCCTGCAAAGCAGGCGGGTACAGCTAGTCGTATATAAAAGCGTAACAAAATGCGGTAGGCAGCGGCAAGGCTCTGTCCGAATTGAAAAAATCGAGGTCGAACCTCCTCTTTTGAATTCGGTTAAAAAGCGTAGTTTTGGTACCTTAAATAGCTTCTTAGCATTCTTTTATTCAAAAATATTTTCACCTTCTACGTAAATGAAGGGTTAAATTCAGTGTTATCCCAAAGTAACTATTCCACGCGGACGAAGTCGCGGACAAAAGTTATCCATTCAACATATTCTGCCGCCACTCGATGACGTCAATCAATATCGCCTTCTATTATACGTTCAGAGGTATTTGTAGGAACGCGTCATCAGAAATCGTAAGTTAAACAAAATAAAAATAAATGTGAGAAAACGTCTTATTTATTGTTCAACGGTAAGAAATGCTGTATTAACAAAGCAAGAAGTGACCTTGGGTTTTAAAATGAAAAATAATCTTATTATTTATTAACATTTGAAATGTTAAACATAATTCAGGTGCTGGTCGAGAAGTTATTATACGATACTGACGTGGAAAAATTATATTTGATGATTCGAGAAAAGGATGGCGAAACTATCGATCGAAGAATGGCTGCTCTGCTGAACAATTCTGTAAGATATTGGATTGGCTATTAGATTACAATTATTTTACTCGCTAGTACCAGAAAAGTGTTGAATTTTTCTCTATTTGTTCGGGATGCTCTTTGCTTTAAGGGTTCGGTGCATTTTAATGAGTTTTTTTGTTGTTGCTTAGATGTGTGGACGAGCTCACAGCCCATCTGGTGTTAAGTGGTTACTGGAGCCCATAGACATCTACAACGTAAATGCGCCACCCACCTTGAGATATAAGTTCTAAGGTCTCAAGTATAGTTACAACGGCTGGCCCACCCTTCAAACCGAAACGCATTACTGCTTCACGGCAGAAATAGGCAGGGTGGTGGTAGCTACCGACTCACAAGTGGTCCTACCACCAGTAATTACGGAAATTATCATTCTGCGGGAATGATTTTTATTATACGATGTTATTCCTTCACCGTGGAAGTCAATCATAAACATTTGTTAAGTACGTATTTCATTAGAAAAATTGGTACCCGCCTGAGATTCGAATACCGGTGCATCGCTCAACACGAATGCACAACACGTCTTATCCTTTAGGCCACGACGACTTCAAAATTACCGAAATATGTAATATATTTTTGTATAAATATAGTATATAATAGTATAATCATACAAATAATATAATCAAACATATACATGCATGCATCTATTTACTTATAAATAAAATTCAGCGGCATGAGATTATCGAAATCTGCCCTTTCAGATTTTTGGAAAGTTAAAAGCCTTGAAGCCGTCTGCAGTAAATAAAATAGTGCCTATATATGGCGACGTCACGCAAACCGACTTGGCCATGAAAACACAAGACATTAAAACGTTAACCTCAGAGGTAGGTACTTATTATTATTTACTTAAAATCTTATTAATTTTAAATGTGTATGCATGAGCTTTTTTTTCCCACCTACCTATGCTGGTAGCCTTGAGAGGCTATTTCAGCTTCACCTTAACATGAAAGTGTTGTTAACACTGGCCCTAGCAAGAGCAGTGCTTCGCAGAATCTACCACCGGATCGGAAACGCGACCCACTGAGAAGATCCGGCGAGAAACTCAGTGGGCTGTCTCTATGGGTTGATTCACTCGTGGAGCCCTTCGTCGCAAGCGACGGGTTCGACAAGAACGGTGACCAGTGCTTGTGGTACCTAAAAGCACCGTTAATGGATCGGGAGGATAATGACGTGTTTTGGGCGACGTCGACTATTTACCATTCGGTCTACAGGATCGGGTATGCAATTTCCAGCGGCAACGACAAGAGGGTTCTCAGGTCGTGCCGCCTTCTTAAAGTGGCGCAATGATGCCGACTGTAGATACTTACTGACTAAATCAAGCTCCAGGTCATCATGGAGATCCACATTCCTTAGAAACCATAGTGCTCCGACGGCTATCCTGCAAAAATGGGATTGAATAACTTCAAGGGGTTTCAAGCTGGTGCGGGCCGCGTGAGCGAACACTACACTTGCATAGGTCATGAACCATGAGCTAAGAAAGGAGCGTAGTCCGAGATTTTATATTTATATTTTACATGGTTATAATTATTCTTCTTCTTCTTTTTCCCACCTTATCTCACTCGGCACAGCTAATTTTTCTCTTCCATTCTGCTCTATCAGCCGTTATCTCAACACTCACTCCTCTCTTTCTCTCATGTCGTCATTCCCACACTTTATCCATGTCTTCTTCGGTCGACCTCTTCCCCCTCTACCTTGCACTACCATTTCCATACATCTCCTAGTCATATGCATCTTCTCTCTACGCATCACATGTCCATACCACGCTAACCGTCCGCTCTTTAATTTGTTGAATACCGGGACTACTTTTACACTTCCTCTTTTGTTGTTATTAATATTATTATTACTTATTCTCGACAAATATCGCCTTGTTTTGTTTATCAGTTGGGATAATCTTGTTATTATTTTTATTATATTGTACGGGTCTCTACGCTCTATTCTGTAATATTGTGTTCCTGGAAATGTGTAGAGCCATCAATGTGGCCAACATTACGTTTGATTATCTTATAATGTCGTAGAGGTCATTGGTATAACCAAGTAGGCAGTAGAGTTTGTCCTATTCCCTTTCTTAAAAATCTTACGATGCCAATGCACGGGCCTCTCGCTTCGGTATTTGATCGTGTAATGTTTCAGGTCTCGGTGGTTTTTCATATGGCCGCAAGTATACAGTTCAAAGAACCTATGTCTGTTACCTTGAATTACAACTATGAGGGGACGAAGAGAGTACTTAAGTTATTACGGCAAATGCAAAAGATTGAAGTGAGTATTTTTCTGTTAATAAATTTAGGTATGCTATTTATTTAGATGTTTGGCTCCGAAATCGCCATTTATTATACAGAAAGTTAAGAGAGGACGATGTTTGAGGGTGCGTATTGTCTGATACATAAAGTTTTAAAGGTTTTAATCCTTTTAATAATTATACATTTTTTTAATTTTAATTCCGTGTTCATATTCACATTAAAACTATTAATTTGAAAGCCCTCTGAAACAGTTGTCAATTGAGACAATAATTGTACATTTTTGAAAGCTTCTGAATTATTATTGTAGGCAAGCTTTTGAGAATGTTATAATATTTTTCGAAATTTGATTTACTTTATGCTATCTCACCCCATATAGTTCATGAACCATCGAATTCTGAAGATTACCTTTATGCGGGCAAAATCAAATCTATACTAATATTATAAAGCTGAAGAGTTTGTTTGTTTGTTTGAACGCGTTAATCTCAGGAACTACTGGTCCGATTTGAAAAATTCTTTCAGTGTTAGATAGCCCATTTATCGAAGAAGGCTATAGGCTATATAACATCACGCTAAGATGAGAGCATCAATAAAGAATGTTTCAAAATCGTGGTTTTTTTCCCTTTTGAGAGCTTCCGCTGCGTGCGCTGCGGAAACGGTTAAAGTTTCGCTAAAATAATGTAAGACAGAATTGTTCCCCTTGAAGAGACCTAAAAAAAGTCCACAACAGCATAATAATATGTCTATATGTTAAGGTTGGCTCCCTATAACGTTTTTCATGCTAACCAAATTTTTTCTAAAATAAAGCATTATTTGTGAAGGTGTTTTTATAAAGGTGATATTAATCCCTATCCAAATAAATACGCTATTCATTACAAGTTTTTTTAATTTTTAAAAAAACTACACCCACTTGTTTTTATTGAGTATTTCGCTATGAGTATTTCAATGAGTATGAGAAGATATCGCAGTTTTAAAATAACATCGCAGCACAATAATGATCAAGTGCGTAATATTGATGTACAGGGCGTCAGCCGGCCGGTGCGCGGCGGCACAAAATAAGAAGAATAACAGGAAACACCCAAATTACTTCAAGATAGGTTTTGAAAATTACAGATTTTTGTGGATTTCTCCAAGATCCCATCATCAGGTCTTGATGATTCCAGGACAATTCAGGAAGTCTACTCTTTCAAACAAAAAATAAACAAGAGAATTATCAGAATCGGTTCAAGCATTCTCGAGAAATCGGTGAACATACATAGATAAAAAATTATGGTCGAATTGATAGCCTCCTCTTTTGAAGTCGGTTAAAAAACGTGATTTTGGTACCTTAAATATCTCCTTAACGTTCTATTATTTTCTATCACTTTCTATGTAAATGAAGTCGCGGGTAAAATTTAGCGTTATGCCAAAGTATCTATTCCAAGCAAAAGCTAGTGTAATAAAATAGTCTTCAATATTTGATTTTCTTTTGGACAATTTTTAAATTATTTTTTTATAGTCCTTCGTTCACGTTTCGTCTGTATATGCACAAGCGCTTGATGGAGGGAAGATAGTCCAGGAGACCTTGTACCCGCCGCCGGCTAATCACAACGAACTAGAGACCTTCATATCGAAGTACGACAACGACGAAGAGGAAACAAAGAAATTTTTGCGTGAGTCTATCTTGGATGTTTATTTTTGTACGAACTAATAATAAGTGTACAGTCTGCTTATTAAATTATTGCATCATTATCATCAGCCCACAGTCGTCTACTGCTGGACATAGGCCTTCTCCCAATCCACACTACTAAGCCCGGTCCTTGACCCTCCTCATCGACTATTGCGTATACAATATTTTTTAGCATTTAAATTATTGCACCACCTAGTCAGTCATATGTATAGACTCCATCAGTCTCTTAAGCTAGAGAAGAAATTAGCTCATTCGCCCGATTACGAAAAGAACAACAGTAGCAGTAACTCAATGACCTGAGTCGATCTTTGATCGTAATAAAACACAAACTGCACAAAAAAATACTTGTTCATATCAATAAACAATGTTACTTTACTTGCAGAACGACGTTGTAATACATACGCTTATGGTAAAGCGTTGACAGAGGCCTTTGTGGCTGAAAACCATGGCACAATACCGACGTGCATAGTTAGACCATCTATGAGTAAGTATTAAATAGATATTTCTAAAGGACATGGGCCACTCTCCATACATTGCATGCTCCCACTACACGAAGTTCAAGGACAGTAATGAAATTAAGTTTAAATAAAAGACTATATATCCCTTTTATTATAAACAAATTAATGGGGATACATGGGGATACAAAGATATTTAAAAAATTAAATAAGAATTTTAGGTTATATCATATGATTTTGCTGTCAATACACTGACACCTTAACATCATCATCAGCTTAAATATTATCTATATTACTATACTTTATGACACAGACCTAATTCAGTGAACGCCAAGACTTAATTTTATAGGTATATCGCAACGAAACACTTCATAATATCCACAATGCGCGCGAGTGCGAAAACTAGTGATCAAAATTAAATGTAAAACGTCAATAAACATTAAATATTTATAACTAACTAGAGGTCCCGCAGTAGTCGAAATTCGACTATAATTAATTGGAATTGTAAGTTTGTACACTATTATGATTGTATTTTATACTCCTTTATTCACAAATTTCGCCAAGACTACACTATAAAAAATATTAACCAAGATAAACAATATTTAATCTATTCTCAATTTGACAACAGACGTCAAGAACAAAAGTTTGACAATAAATAGTATGCATGCTGTGTGCGTCAAATACATGGTATGTAGTGTGTGTAATGTTTTCTTTATTGATTTAATGTATCTTTTATTCATTATTTAAAAAAAATATTAGCATTGTGCACTTCTTCTCTATATTCTCTACAAGTGTAGAAAATTTCATAGTCCTCCGTCCGCGCAATTTTCGTAAAAAGGGATACAAAGTTTTTGCTTCACGTATTAATATATATATAACTAAATATATAAATATAGATAACACCATGCACCCCGCACTTTTTTTACAATTTTTTTTTTTACACAACATTCAATTTAAATTTATTACATTTTTTTTTCTATTTTTTAGTTGAATTTTATATAAAGCGTATTTTTTAGTTTTTTTTAAACTATTATTAATATTTTGCTTAAGATCAATAATTATTCATCCATGTAATAATTTATTCTACGGATTTAAAAGTATAAAAATAGATTTTTCTTTAGATATTATATTTTATATTTATATTAAAATCCATTAATTAAATATGTTAATATATTTTGCTAGTTTTTTGCAATACTCGTAAAATATTTTTCTAAGAAGATTTAATGTGAATTGTTTAAAATATAAATATATTTTACCTATGGCAACTCCTTCAATATTATCAATGTAGCTTAGTCATGCTAATTTCTTTTTATTTATTATTTTAATTATCCCACCATTAAAATACCCGCAAATTTTATAATAAGTATTTAAAAATGAAATGTTTTTTTCTTTAGATATTTCATTAATGTTCTTGAGAGCACTAGTAGCTGGGCCGAAAATGGCCCATGTCCTTATAATTCTAGCTGAAGTCGAATTAATTGAAAGCCGTCGTGGCCTAAAGGAAAAAAAGTTTGGGGGCTCAAATTCCGCAGACAGGTAAACTAACCAGCACAAGCTCTCAGACAAATGGATAAATCCTTATATTTACAATCGATTTTCTTGTTTTTCTTCTTCTTGCTTCGGTTTTCTCAATACTGAGGGTCGTGATCACCTCCTCGCAACAAGAGCTTATTACGGACCATTCCACGCCATTTGCCTCTATCTGCCGCCGAGTGTAGAGTATCATGAACTGTGGTATCGAGGGTAGTGCGGATTTGGTCCGTCCAACGTGTCGAGCCTCTACCTCGTGGTCTTCTTCCATCTTCTTCTTCTTGTTTAGTTACTTCGAAAGCAGAGCAGCCTTTACCTGGGTGGTTAGACAACTGGTATGGACCGACGCGCTTCTTATACAATGCATCTCGTGGATGGGACCGTTCGTGCTTCATTCGAAGAGAATTCTTAGCTGACATGATACCAGTGGACTATGTCGCGAACCTCTGTATCGTTGCGGGAGCGAGAAACGACAGGTAATCCGGTTTTTGCTGTTACCAGAGTTGGAATCATCACACAATGATAAGACTTCACAGTTGTGGTGACTCCATTAAATACCATATGACAGGGAAGAATCTTTATTCCATTAGAAAATGTCGTGACCTAAAGGATAAGTCGTCCCGTGCATTCGTGTTGATCGATGCAATGGTGTTCGAATCTCAGGCGGGTACCAATTTTTCTAATGACATACGTACTCAACAAATGTTCACGATTGACTTCCACGGTGAAGGAATAACATCGTGTAATAAAAATCAGACCCGCAAAATTACAGTTTGCGTAATTACTGGTGGGTAGTAGGACCCAGGAGGAGTGGTGAGTTCGCGCGGGTAGGTACCACCACCCTGCCTACTTCAGCCGTTGGGCAGCCGTTGTAACTATACTGAGACCTTACAACTTATATCTCAAGGTGGGTGGCGCATTTACGTTGTAAATCTCTATGGGCTCCAGTAACCACTTAACACCAGGTGAGCTGTGAGCTCGTCCACACATCTAAGCAATAAATAAAAAATATTATTGGCTATTTCTATCGGTCCATTTGATTTTCAGTTGTGTCGATATCGCGGTTTTCAACAGTTGTACCACAGGAGCGAATCCATTAACCTGGGCATATGCACATAAGTGCATGATAAAAGATACAGTTAAGAATAAATTGAGTAAGTCTCTGATACTTAGGTCTAGATATAAAATGTGGTAGGACTCATATTTTAGAATAAATCAATAGAGCCCTTATTTCATAGATTCAACTTTGGACCAAATCATTCTGTTTACCAAATATAGACATCGCAACTTGTTTGCCGCCATTTTTATAAAATCTAGGAGTTCACGTCGTAGAATTAATTTGATGCAAAGCCCCCGGTACGTCAGTATCATTGGCAGTAAAATTAACCGTTAATAAAGAAAGATTATGTTTTTCATTGAAACAGAATAATACACATAATTATTACCTACATAGCATGTGGGTCGTATGCTGAATCCCAAATTAGATGTTAAGAATAAATTGACTCCTTAATAATATCTACCTTGACGAATGCCCAGCGAGAGTTCAGTTTAGGCTGGACTTTATGTTTATATAGCAACTTCTCAACCTAGAAGAACAACGGTGAGAGGTATTTAGACCTTTCATTTGTTTCAGATGATCTGCCATATCCATTTGTATTATACACACAGTCAAAGCTACTATACTCAATTTATACGATGCTTCTGCAGTTAATTCCTGCAAAAATAGCGGACGGTTGGCTGTGGGTTACTGGAAGGAGATCAAAGTAAATATATTATTCAATATTTTTTAAGAGTTCCAGGCGAGAGCCGCTCATCGATAAATAGGCCATATGTAATTAGTGAGTGAACGATAAGGATATTGGCTTAATCTGGATTGGATAGAGATATTGGTCAAAGCGAAAACGCCATCATCCACATTGAAATGAAGGCGTTTATTTGAGTTTACAAATACTGCTAGGACAGATATCTTCCTCTTTACGGGAAAATATTGGTCTAGAAAACATTAAGCGATGTTAGAATGTTGTGTACATCAAATGAGAACAAATTTAATTTGGAGCTCATGGAACTTTAGGACACACTGCAGATTCGATCAGACGCTTAAATTTAATTTATTTAATTCGATTTTTCATTCGCAGGTATACAAAAACACAGAAGAAAGTAATACATTTAAAAGAAACACTGAGTTTTTTTCTGAAGAATTCATGGGTAATTGAATGCGAAAATACTAGGAAACTCTTTAGATCTCTATCATTGGATGATCAAAAAAAGTTTCCCTGTGACCCCGTTAACATTAACTGGAGAAAATACTTAGAAGACTATCAAAAGGGCATCGAAAAGTTTTTGTGCCAGGAAAAAGTGGGGCCAAATAAACCTTAAAATGTTTGGATTCCGTTTCTGAAAAAAAAACATCTTTATCATTACCGAATGTATGTGTGTTATCATAATTCCATTAGATTGTAATTTATCTAATCGTTTATCAATTCTATACTGTCAATGGTACGCATCAAATAAGTGTAACATAACATACTTTGTATACAAACATAATTTGTATTGTCATTTACAAATACAATGGAAAATTGTCTAAAGAATAAAGTGGTCATTGTGACTGGAAGCAGTTCCGGTATTGGAGAAGCTATTGCTGTAGAATTAGTATCTCAAGGAGCAAAAGTTGCTATAATTGGTAGAAGAGAACATAAACTGAAATTAGTAGCAGCAAGATGTGAACTAGTTGGTAAAAAGACATTGGCAATCAGGGCAGATGTGACTAAAGATGATGATAGAAGAATGATCATTAAAAGGACAATAAAACATTTTGGGAAGTTAAATGTGCTTGTGAATTGTGCTGGTGTAGCCAAATTCATCAGTATTTTGTCCAATGAAGCAATTGAAATGTTTGATGAAGCTTTGTCCATCAATCTTCGATCCATTGTGCATTTGGTTCATCTTTCGGCTTCATATTTGATTGCAAGTAAAGGATCCATTAATAATATTGGAAGTGTTGGAGGTATCGCTCCGATAGCGTCTGAGAAATTTTCTTACTGTATTTCCAAGGCTGCATTACATCATTTTACGAAATGTTTGGCTTTAGAGCTGGCTAGTAAGAATGTCCGAGTGAATCTTATTGCCCCGGGCCCAGTGAGAACATATACCAGATTCAAACCGACCACTTAAGCATTTTAAATAAATAAAAAACAATGAGAAATTGCTTATCGTTTAATTTAACTATATAATTTCACAGTAAACTGATAGGATCTCGTTGGTGTAACACTGAGAGTGACGGAGTCTCCACTGCAAGATCCTGAAACTCTGCGGATGGACTTTGCTTCGTCAGCGCTCACCGTGATGCAGCGCATGTCTTGTAGGGAATAGCTTACCTGAAATCATATAAAAGGGTGAAGCTACAGTCATGGCGTACATTCGTGTTGACTACAGGAACACTTAAGTTTATTCTGAATCCTCGGTTTATATAAAATTGTACAAGTTCAGTTCCAAACAACGAAAAACCAACTTTCCATTTGCATGATTTTATTACGAAATGATATTTTTTTTATTGCCCTTTAAGGCGGACGAGCATACGGCCCACCTGATAGTGAGTGGTTACCGTTGCCCATGGACTTGAGAAATGCCGGGGGCAGAGCCAAGCCGCTGCCTGCCGTTAGGTACTCATCCATAAGCCTCGTTTGAAGAAGGACATGTTATAGCGCTCGGGAAACACCGTGGAAAAAAGATCTCTTGAAATGCACTGTTAATGAACGCAGCGACTCTAGGTAGTGGCGAGAAGTGAAGTCATTCAGCAGACTCAGAGGTTCCAAAAATCTCCAGGAATCGTCTGAAGTCTTGCTTGTGAGTGATATGGCTTTGATACAATACTAAAGTACTGAATAAATTCAAGTAATATTATTAATTGTGACTTGGCTGCCACTAGTATTGTTGATGACCATGGTGGTGGACAACACCGCCATTACCACCGTATTCTAAACTGCTATCGAAGGCAATTCGTTAAAATGTCTTCTGGAACTAAATTGTATTACAAATTTACCAAAACTCTTTTAATTAAAGGATAAAAATTTACCTGAACCTGAACTGATTCATCGGAATTCAAGTCACTAATTACTTCATTAACCTCGTTGTAGATCAAATTTGATTCTTGAATTTGTTCACAATCACCGCACTTCCATATACCTTCAGACAAAACTGGCTGTTCACCTGGAAGTAATATTTATTATAATTACAATACAGGTCGACTAATTGAGAATGGGTACAGGAATTTTACGCATCTTTCCAACGAAGAAGTCGTGGTCTAAAGGATAAGACGTCCGCTGCATTCGTCGATCGATGCAACAGTGTTCGAATCCCGCCGGCATCGCTTCAACACGAATGCACCGGACGTCTTATCCGTTAGGCCAAGACGACTACAGACTAGATTTGAGGAGAGCTTGTATCTGTGGGCTCCCTTCCTTTTGTCCCTAGCATTATTGAAGTGCCCGAATGACCGTAGTCACTCACCATTACTTAGGTCATAGGCCGTCTGCTTGTAAAGGCCATAAAAGAAAATCTTGCATAACGTTTATCCTCCGCTGCGAAATTCGCAGATGCTATGACAAACTCTCTGCTCTCTTTCTAATCGTAAAATGCAAATACACCCTATAACTATTGTTAAGAATGTTGAATATATCATATTTTTTTCCATACCTATGCTGATAGCCTTGAGAGGCTATATCAGCGTTACCCTAGCATGTAGGTGAGCTCTCGGGGCTCAAACCAGGAGGTATTGGAAAACAAAACCCTTCTATAGCAACTGGTACAATAAAAATGTTCATCATAGCGACGTAACTGTGATATATTAGAATTCAATGAAAAACTCAAAGAATTTTCCATTTCTTTTTAAACTTTTGAATAAAAAGTTGAAACAGAAAACACTCTTCAATCAAAAATCAATGCTAAAATATTGTCCTACTTTCAATCAATCGACTGTTTTCTAAGATTTGCAGATATAAATTTTAATAGTGAAACGATTTTGATTAACAAATCTAGTGCAAGTAGGGTATTGAGTTCTTACTCAATTCGGTTCAATAGTCAATGTCCTTACATTGACTACATAAGAGCTTATGAGTGAATGAACTGATAATTTCGTCTGTGCTTGAATCCAATGAGAACTTTTGATTATTGAACGAGTTCAATGAACCTTTATTGACTGCTGAAAACACAACTTCTCACGGACACTAATACTCGTAATGCCAAGGCTATTATTACTTACCAAACAAATTACAACTCAACAAACCAATATCGAAAACATTTCAGTTCTTATTGCAATAGGCAAGTAACCGAATTCACAGCGAATAGTGGAGCCAATAGATACTTCATGCGTTTAATATTGAAAATTGATCTCTTAACCGGAAACTATTTCCATTTATTCCCTATTCCTGATTTCACAAAACTAACTTTTACATCACGGTTTTATATTAAACGCTCAATTAGATCAGCTGCGACGTAGGTTCAACGACCTCGTCCTTCCATTTGCTTTAAATTGCTTCTTAATGGACGAGTTTTATTGTTTTGTTTAGTATTTTTGGAAGGAAGTTCCTTATGGGACGATACGGAGGGGTACCCTAACCGGGAAAAAACGTCCGTAACGTAAGATTTTTATTAGTAATGCATACAGTGTACCACTTAACTTTGTAATAACGTACAAATTAGTAATGCACACAGTGTACGACTTAGCTTTGTAATAACGTACAAAAAATAACATATTTTTTATCATTCATTGACCACGATCTCAGAGCGTTCGTTTGCGCAATACACTAACTCTTATGCAAACAACCGTGAATGAAGTGTACCACAATAAATTCGCACGTTACCGAATGACCGTGGGTTGTTGCGAAGCCTCCAGTTTTATTTTCTTTATACCTCGTATAGAACTTAAAATTAATATTTTTATAATAAGGAAATTCGTTCCTATCCGGTGTCCCACGACACCACATATCTTTTTATTTACTTTAGGGATATGGTTAAAATACTATTATCTTTAATCTATTTAACCTGTTACATAGTATTATTTGGCTGCGACTTGGCTATGCCCCTGACATTGCTGACGTCCATGAGCGTCTTTAGCCACTGACCATGCTGACCATCAGGTGGTATGCTAATCTGCCTACACATGCAACACGTAATAAAATAACGATTTACCTTCTTCTTCTTCACCGGACGCAACGAGTCGATCATCGTAGTTCATAAGCATATTAACAACATCGTCAAAATAATCTACATCGGTACAAAACGCACTAGTGACGAACGCTAGAAAGAACAAATATTTGAACATTGTTAAAACAGTTTTCGTCTTTACTACGTGCGTTACTGTGTTCGGTTCGAATTTCACTTTGGAACTTGTACGATTTGTTATTAAATTATGTTCATTGTCGACATGCGTGACCCCTGATAACATTTGATAGGTTCAATACGTGTTGGCGTTCGTCTCATCGCTCATAATGATTGTGTAATGATCACCTACATTGTTCTTAAAAAAAATGCGGTTTCATTCGAAAATAATATAATATATTACAGAATTATTTTTAAATTTCGACTCTACATTATAAATATTATTGGAGAGTCAACGAGTTAGTCGGTGGCATCAGAAAACCGAATTGAAAAAGTGTAGACAGAACTGTCGGCTTCTAATAACCTACACGCAGTTTTCAATCCACTCGTGGTAATGGCGCTTGGAATAACGCTGAAATATTAAAAATATAAAACGTAACAAGAACCAGTTAATTAATAATGGAGGTGCCTAAAAACAAAAAAATTATTTTATTTTATTTACAAGACTATATTTTTGTTTAGTTCGTAGGGCGTATTTTAAATGGGCCGTGAAATAGTGCCTTCCCCCTCGGGACGCCGGACTGGCGGTCGTCGGCGCCACGACCACCAGCCCTCTCTAGCTGTTATGCATCAGAAACGATACTTACTAAATCGACCTAAAGGTGAATGATTGTTTATGTCTATAGGCTCCCGTAACCGCTAAGGCATCAGCTCGATAACTCACATAAGTATTACTTATTACTAGAGGTCCCGCAGTAGTCGAAATTCGACTATAATTAATTGGAGTTGTATAATAAGTTTGTACACTATTATAATTGTATTTTATACTTCTATAATCACAAATTTCGCCAAGGCTACACTATAAAAAATATTAATAAAGACAAACAATATTTAATCTATTCTCAATTTGACCACAGACGTCAAGAACAAAAGTTTGACGATAAGTAGTATGCATGCGTGTGTGCGTCAAATACATGGTATGTAGTGTGTGTAAGTTTTTCTTTATTGATTTAATGTATCTTGTATGCATTATTTTAAAAAAATATTAGCATTGTGCACTTCTTGTCTATATTCTCTATAAGTGTGGAAAATTTCATACTCCTCCGTCCGCGCAATTTTCGTAAAAAGGGATACAAAGTTTTTGCTTCACGTATTAATATATAGATTTTATTAATATTTTAATTATTTATTAATTATTAATTATAATATTAAAAAGCTGAAGAGTTTGTTTGTTTGAATGCGCTAATCTCAGGAACTACTGGCCCGATTTGAAAACTTGTTTCAATGCTAGATAGCCTATTTATTCAGCCCGTGACATAACATTACATTAACATTACCAATACAATTGGAGCACCAATAAAGAATTCTTCAAATTAGGGGTTTTAATGGCTCTTTAACATTCTGTAATTCATAAATATTTTCAGAAAATGAAGTGGTGGTAAAATTTAGCGCTATGCCAAAGTAACTATTCCACGCGGATGGAGTCGTGGGCCAAAGCTAGAAAGTAATAAAATAAAAACAGTATGCGTAGACGCGAACGATGAGTATTTGGAAGCTAAAATAAATACTGCATTGTCCAATATATTTTTAAAATCCTACTTTATTTAATATTAATAAAATATAAAACTCACGAAATTACTGAAAGAAAAGATTTATTACTTCCATCCATCAATCTTAGTAATAACGGTGTATTTTCATAATTCTTATCCTTATACCTGACGCGATGGATTTAGCTAAATCTCCGAAATTAAGGCGAACAAGCAACGTTAGAGGGCTCAGGCATTCACGGGACTCTCAACTTTATAGCGCTAGATATAAAGACTGGTATTTAAGCATAAATATTACGTTCGCCTTATGTAAATCCCTTCCCGGTTTTTTATATGAAATCTCTTGAATCGGCGTGTAACTCGTAAAAGGTTTGTTTAACTGCCTTTTTTGGGTATATTGTAAATTAATTTGATGAATTAAATTCTATCTAATAAATTCATAGAAGTTGGTATAAACGATCCATCATTACAATGGAATGGCCCTGTCTTTGTCTTCTTTTTTTTTTATTGCCCTGTCGGCAGACGGGCATACGGCCCACCTGATGGTGAGTGGTTACCGTCGCCCATGGACTTCAGCAATGCCAGGGGCAGAGCCAAGCCGCTGCCTACCGCTATGTCACTGCCGAAGTCTATGGACAGCGTTACTGCGGTAGACATTTCACATCTGGTAGGCCATTGGGCACATTAGGACACTAAAATAAATAATAGTTTAAAAAAACTAACAAAATACGCTTTTATTGAAAATCCAACTCAAAAATAGAAAATTAATCTTAATAAATTTTGAATTAAAAATAGTGTAAGAAAAAATGATTAGATTGTAAAAAAAGCGTGGGGTGCGTGGTATCAGTAGCTATAAATATTTTATGAACAGATATAAGTAGAAGGGTTATTTTGATAATACCCTGAAAAGCACCCCACGCTTTTTTACAATAAAATCATTTTTTCTATACTATGTTTAATTCAAATTTATAAAAATTTATTTACCAGTTTTTAGTTGGATTTTCTATAAAAGCATATTTTGTTAGTATTTTTAAACTATTATTTATTTTTCATTTTTTAGTTCACTTTCAATTTTTTCATAAAAAAATTTAAATAATGAATTGTCATCGGTCCTTAATAAGTATACCAAATTTCGAGTTAATCCGACGTTTTGGAGGGGGTCAAAATCATGTTCAAAGATTCCGTTACAAACATACATACGTCTAAAGCTAACATAACTAACAGCGTATTAAAAAGAATTCAGTCGCATAACCAAATTACAGTGTAACACAAATCCGGTCTCGTAAAATAATTCAGATGAAAATTAAATTGTAATTTTAGTGGAATATCGTTCGCATGGCGTCGCTATCATATCCGTTGCGGTGAGTTCCGGTGCTACAGGCAGATCGTGGGAAATATCGAAATGTAATTTTAATTTTCACTATTAAAGTAGAAAAACGGCTTGCGTTCATTCAATCTATACTAATATATAAATCTACAGTGGTTTTTAGGGATGTTCCGTTATAACTGGAACTGGTGGTAGGACCTCTTGTGAGTCCGCGCGGGTAGGCACCACCACTCTGCCTATTTCGGCCGTGAAGCAGTAATGCGTTTCGGTCTGAAGGGTAGGGCAGCCGTTGTAACTATACTGAGACCTTAGAACTCATATCTTTAGGTGATTTCTCATTAACGTTGTAGATGTCTATGGCTTCCGGTAACCACTTAACACCAGGTGGTCTGTGAGCTCGTCCACCCATCTATGCAATAAAAAAATAATAATAAAAAAAAGCAATAAACGGTACAAATTATGCTTTTGTTATTTTTATTTAAAAAGGATCGAACAGAGCAGACTTGAGTCCGTCTAGTGATAGTTCACTTGATTTTGATTTTTTCTATTGCCCTTGTAGGCAGACGAGCGTACGGCCCACCTGATGGTGAGTGGTTACCGTCACCCATGGACTTCAGCAATGCCAGGGGCAGAGCCAAGCCGCTGCCTACCAATTACTGATACTAATGATTACTGCTAAAGTGGAGTTAAGCTCATCCTTCCCATGTATACGTCAAAAGGAAACCAATAAATTTTTAGGTAGATATTGAATAGCCAATTTGTGGACCTATTTACATTAGACTCTCGTATAACATAAAAAAGAACCGAAGCTATTACTTATACATTCAAAATCTGAAGTGTTATGTAAATTTTATTGGCACTCTACGATTTAATTTCAATTTTATATCGAGTATCGTGATATTGACGTAAAGACCCCGACCGTTTAATCAAAGGAATTGACGATACTCCACTGGACTTATGAGATACGAATAAATCTTAAGGTTTTTCAAAGAGATTGGCTCGTTCGAATACGTAATTGTCGCATGAAAATGGCTTTAAAGTTAATCCGTAGGCTCTGACAAGATCCGAGAGGGTTTTGACGCGCACTAGTAGAACTTCCATTTGTTTGTTCATATATGCAAGTATAAATGATTTACTTTCAGATTTTCGCTCGTAGCGCCTTTACAACAAAACCCCACAAGATGTTCAGAACCTACATATACATAGGCTTAAGAAAACTATTAAAGAACATCTGTGCAATAAAGCTCACTATAAAGTCAATGATTATCTAGAAGATTGCACAAAGGGGGAAAGAGTTGCACGCTCCGGGCATTTCAATATTACAATAATTGTTACGTTATAATACTCATTGTAAAAATTAATATTAAAAAAAAACTAATATTAAAAAAAGAAAAAAAGAAAAAAGACAATATGCCTGCTGAGTTTCTTGCCAGTTCTTCTCAGGACGGAGGCTAGTTTTTGTGAATTGGCGGTAGTTCTTTTTGACGTTTAACAAGTATCTTCTTTCATTTATGTTGAATAATTTTTTTTTTGATTTGATTTGATTTGAAACAGTAATCAATCTAGATCCCCCGGTGACCGTCCTCGTCGAACCCGTCGCTTGCGACGAAGCACTCAACGAGTGAATTAACCCATAGACACAGCCCACTGAGTTTCTCGCGGGATCTTCTCAGTCTTCTCTGAGTTTCCGATCCAGTAGTAGATTCTGCGAAGCATTGCTCTTGCTAGGGCCAGTGTTAGCAACACTCCCGGCTTGAGCCCCGTGAGCTCACCTACACGTCAAAGAGAAGCTGAAATAGCCTCTCAAGGCTATCAGCATAGGTAGGGAATGAAAGATCTAGATTCTGCCGTAAATTCCGTAATGAAGGGTTGGGCAGTCGTTATACAATAAAACTGAGATTTAGAACTCATGTCACTTGTGGGTGGTGGTATTTGGGTGGCTGATCCAGTACTCACTTAGCATCAGGTGGGCCGTAAGCTTGTCCACTAACCGATACAATTTTAAAATAATAAAGTACTGGACCGTACACAAAAACCGTCCCGAATCTATTTATTTGTATGTGATCATTTAAACGGAAATCAAAATAGTAAACAAATCTGAACTTCTAATCTAACTGTAGCTTTTCTTTA